TGTCCGAACTCGTCTGCCATTGTCATGACTCCCAGCATCAGACGGTGGACTTGGTACATTCTCAAATGTTTTGCCATCATTGAAGTCGGCATCATCCGTGAGTGTCACTGTCAGATGCTGGGAATTATGATAACTTTTATGGCAGATGACTTCGGACTAGATGCGTTCTACTAAGTCGCTCTGACAACAGGACCAAGTTACATACTTAATGGGATAAAAATGAGAAAATATAAAATGTATTTTTGGATAGGATTCATTTATTTTATGGATACAAGATAAAACTGCTTGCGCAAGGGATGAGTAACTCTCATGTTTTTAAATCTAGCTCTTGAAGTGAAAATTAAGACAGTCGTATTGGGCATCTTTGCATACTTCTGCATTATAAGAGAAGAAGTAAAGTGGTCGAGTTTTAAAGTTTTATTCGACTGTTAAGCTGACAGAAATGCAAATCAAAATATGCACTTAGTGCGAAGCCTGAAGAGCAAATTGATGTTGGCAAAAATCACAGCAAAAACACACAAATAGGCCCACCTTGCATAGATCTCCGGCCAGGGCTTCAGTGGGTTGTCTATGTCCCTCATCGAGTCCCAGACCTTGTCGGGATCCAGTACTTGCTCCTTCCAATGGCGGGTTGACGCGTAGGTGATGACGATTGGAAGCAGGAGGCCGACGCCGAGCGAGGTGCAGTTGCCGATCAGCATGGCTTGGACGCTGCCTGAACAATGTTGACAAAAGAAGGCAGCTTTACATTCCTGTTTATGCGAGAAATTGTCGCGTTTATGTGCACGACTTGGAGTCATAATTAAATTGCTACTAAACGAGATTAGGCCGCATCAGACAGTTGTACTTGTTCTAGGACCTTAGCATAATTTCCCAATTTTGTCGTCATGACTACTTGCTAAAACGCGAGTAGAAGAGAAATAAAATTGGCCCTCGAAATCACCTGACTGGGGACTTGATTAAGTCTGGCGAATGGAGGTGGGAAATGGTGAAATCACAATTTGTCAAATTAATGATGATGCTTCCTATAGTCACATTTATCCCATCCATCTCTTGAGATTATCCCAACGATGAAATGCAACTTGTAGCCTACGCAATCTCACTCCAACCGTTATTCGGGCCCCTCATCCTTGACTACTCAGCAACACCATTACGGTCATCAGCATCATCATCATCATCATCATCTTCGTGCCGCAGCATATACACAGACACACCGACCACCAGCACCCCAGCAACAAGACTGTATGCTCGAATCCAACACAACCAACGTCATCAGCATCATTGCGAGCATGGCAGCAAACATAAACATTGACTGGGCCAATCAAGAGCTGGGCCTGGCGGTACCGGTTTTGGCGAAGAAATCTGAAAGACCGACGGGCAACTGGACGGAGTTGACGATCTGTTGCGAGGTGCCGCTGTAGATCAGCCAGGCTGTGAGGCCTCCGATCATTCCGATCCAGGCGCCGGCGACTGTTGCGGGCCCTGTCAAGCGAGACCATGTGGCCACGTAGCAGATGGGCGCCACTGCTGATCCGATCAAGACGCCCATGAACTGGTAGAGCCAGCCGAGCTGGATCTGGGGAGACAGGAAAAACATGCAATTTGGGTTAAACTGTTGGCTCAAATATGGGAGTGAACATAATTGAAACAATGCCGATTACTATTTTTATAAACACGATGAATCTCATCAGATGCCAATGTTTGGGAGACTGTCATTTCGTATGAAAATGAAAGAAGAAGAGCCTCAAAGCTCGATCTCACCACCCTTTATACACATTCATAACCCAAAATGAAAATGAAAAAGCATAGGTTTGGCCAATTCTATTTCGTATTTGTCCGATTACTTTTGCTCAAGTGTCTCTGTGTGTATGTATGTGTGTGTGTGTGTGTGTTGACGTCTTTAGGCAATAACAGTCGTAAGTCAGTAAGCAAGTATGGTTGAGCTGATGAGATGTAAACTTGCAAACATGCAAGTCAGGTTGCAAAATCGCCAGTCTAGTTGGGAGGAATTAATGATAGATAAGTGATTTGATGGTGAATTGCTTCAAATAAAATATAGTCACGCCATGAGACTTTGAACCTTGCGAATTGTAATCGGTTTAGATGGGAAAAGTGATGGTAGAGATGAGGATGAAAAGTATGAAGCTGATGACGAGGATTTTAAGCGTTGGAGTGAATACATTTAAAACGATGAATGTTGCGAGTATCTCGAAAATGGGTGATATTTCTCTCTAAAAGATTGCATAACAGAAAAAAGTGTGAGGGTTTCTTTGAACACCGTTTTTATCTTCTACTTTCTTACTAATTAGCATATCTTTTTTGATAGAAGGAATGACGGAAAAATCATAAAATGGGAAAAAGTCTCAGTCTGTCTATCTTTGACTTATTGGTGTACGTCTGAATATGTATTCCTCAATAGAGAGATATTATTCTCAATAAGACCTAAAGGAATAAATTTGTCAATTGCTCCAATTCTTTAGTCAAATGTTTGCTATCCGCAAGCCTCATGCTTCTAGCAATCATTGACTTTAAAATTCCAACCTTCTTAGTCTTGTAACTATGGTTGGAAAGAAAATGTTGGCTTCTTATAAACACCTCTTCCTAACCTACCCTCTTCTCGAATGATGACAACATCCAGAAAAGGTAAGGACTTATTCTCTTCCATTTCATTCGTGAACCTAATGTTCCTTTCACACTGGTTGAGGGAAAGTAGGAAACTATCTAAATTGTCCTTACCATGGGGCCAGATGACAAAATAGTCATGCATGTATCTGACCAAAAATTTGGGTGTTAGTATCGCTTCTTGTAGGAAGTGTTCCCCAAGATATTAGCTAAGCATTATACCATCACAAGTCCCTTGTCTGCTCATAAAACTTACCGTAAAAGATAAAATAAGTGCTACTCATAGATAGGTCAAGTGGTTTATTTATGGACGCTATGCTCAAAGTTATTCCTTGTGTCATCTCCGGATGCTTCTTTAGGGTTTGTGCTAAAGAATATTTGTGTATTTAGACATAGCACGAAAACGTATTAGCCTATCTTCTTTTGAAGTTATTTGCTAACCAATTAATTTTCCAAACTCGTAGGCATTTTCAGCTGAATAAAGAAAAGAATTGACAGTTTTGTTTAGTTGCATGCATAAAAAACGTGAGATTATATGCATTATATGTTTCCTCTATTATTTACAATTAATCTAAGGGGAACATACTCTTGATAAATCCCAGAAAGACAGTAAGTTGTGGAGACCCTTGCATCTCTCTGGAGTGGTCAATTCATTTTCCATTTCTCCACTTCACCATAACTTACGCTTAAGCCTAACAGTCAGTCTTTCCAAAATAAATAATAATGTTATAATAAAATTGAAAAAAATCATGATACGATAGCATCGGAACTGAAGATAGATTCAAAATAATATAATATAAATAACTCTATTAATATTAATATATTTATCCTTTCGATTTTTATCGTATATCATATCATATATATATTTTTTAACATTTTTCATTTTTTCATTATTTACGCATATCTTGAGGGCATCCTTTAAGCCTAGTCTTTACTCCTTACCTTTAATCGCTCATTAAAAGCATAAACGCGTTGGTATCATTTAAACTAACTCGCACTTTTTTCATATTTCTCGACATATCCATGACTGCCACTGGCCCACCTTTGCCGCCTTTCATA